GGTTTTATCTCAGGAAACCCTGGAATCAGAGAGAAATCTGTGTCTCCCTGTCAGAACTGCAGATTATGCCCCTTTTTTCATATGATCAAGCTGTGTCCTGTTGCCCCTCTTCAAACTGGGGTTTGGTGGCCATGCATCATTAGCAGGGTAGAGGCTGTGGAACAGGACGTTGCTGTGTGTCCTGGTTGGTTCATTGGGGTAAGTCTGATTCTCTCTTTCCTGCAATGAGAAAATGGAAATAATGTTTATTCTGGCCTTCCTTGTGTTGATAGCGATATGAGCTAAAGGTACATAGCCTCAGGTAAAAGATGTAGTAGAAGTGAAAAGTGTTTGTGTTTGTGATTCCTATGTTCCTGGAGCCAGGTGGTGTCCATGAGCCATGGGTGTCCATGAGCCATGTGGACACCCAGCTCAGCTCCTTCTCCAAGCACTGGGTTTTTCCCACACCCCTTGGTGAACCAGGGGAGAGTCATTCTTTGGTGGCTGAGCGAGGACCAAGAGATGGAGCCGCACATGTCTGCAGGCTGTCCCAGCAGGCATCCATGCAGAAGATTCATGGATTCACAGATTTGACAGAGTTGGAAGGGACCTCTAGAGATCATCTACTCCAACTCTCCTGCTAAAACAGGATTGCCTGGAGCACATTACTCAGGACTGCATCCAGCTGGGTCTTGAAAATCTCCAGAAAAGGGGACTCCACGACCTCCCTGGGCAGCCTGTTCCAGGGCTCTGTCACCCTCACCGTAAAGAAGTTCTTCCTCATATTTGAGTGGAACTTCCCATGTTCAAGCTTGTGCCCGTTGCCCTTTGTCCTATCGCTGGAAACCACTGAAAAGAGTCTGGCTCCATCATCCTTCAACTCACCTTTTAGTTAAATTGTAAACATAGATGAGGTCTCCATTCAACCTTCTCTTCTCCAGGCTAAAGAGCCACAGCTCTTTGAGCCTTTCCTCGTAAGGGGGGTGCTCCAATCCCTCAATCATCTTAGTTGCCCTACACTGGACTCTTTCCAGTAGTTCCCTGTCTCTCTTGAACTGAGGAGCCCAGAACTGGACACAGTATTCCAGTTGTGGCCTCACCAGTGCAGAGTAGAGGGGGAGAATGACCTCCCTCGACCTACTAGCCACACTCTTCCCTACGCAGCCCAGGATTCCGTTGGCCCTCTTGGCCACAAGAGTACATTGCTGGCTCTTGGAGAGCCTGTCATTCACCGGGACTCACAGATCCTATTCCTCTGCAGTACTTTCCAGAAGATCCACGCCTAACTTATATTGGTGTCTGGGGTTCTTCCTCCCCGGGTGCAAGACCTTACATTTGCTCTTGTTGAACCTCATTAAGTTCTTCTCTGCCCAGCTCTGCAGCCTGTTGAAGTCCCACTGGATGGTGGCACAACCTTCTGGACTGTTGGCCAGCCCTCCTAATTTGGTATCATCAGCAAACTTGCTGAGGATACACTCTGGCCCCTTGTCCAGGTCATTGATGAATATGACGCAGCTGCTTTGCTGGTTTTTGCTTAGCTCTGAGACCCTGGGAAGGGCTAATGCTACTCTGGATCACAGCGTTACACGGGGTTAAATGTTCTTCAGGTGACTGCACTTGGCTACTTCTCCTTTGGCTTTTTCTTTGCAGAGGAACCAAGATGGAAATCATCAGGGGAAAAAGGTTCCTTGTGCTGATGTTTGGGACAGTGTGTCCAGCTCCATGAGCCAGTGCCAGCTGCAAGACAGGAGCAGTTCTCTTCCACTAATAAGAAATTCCTCCTACCCTTTCTTTCTGGTCAGAAACATTTTGTCTTAAATTTCTTTAAGACAAAGACCTGATTCTGCTCTTATTGCCTGCAGTTTCAACTCTTGCCCCCTGTGCACTGCTCAAAATTGCTGTAGAGAGGGCAAAGCTGGTGCTGCCGTTAAAAAAAAACAACCAATAGCAAACGTATCCCAGAATAATAAAGAATGGAACAAACAAATTGCAGCAGTGCTTTGTGAGTGCCCAGGTCTGTTCAGAGCAGGATGCCAAGTCCCGTCGCAGCAGGGCAGAGAGGGTTGGGATGAAGACCAGCTTTAGACAAACGAGCAACATCTCCTCCATGAGCTTAGCGCTCAGATGCTCTCCCACAGCTGCCCTTGCTGGTTTGCTCCTGGAACAGCATTGACTTCAGTCGTACGGGGAGCAGCATTCCCAATGACATTACGGTTGAGTTAACCCTGTTTTGGAGGAGAAAAGCCATATGGACATAAGCTCCGCGTGGAAAGTAGCCATGGTCTTAGGTACTGAGTTGCAGGGCATCCCTGGAAGGTCAATCCCAGCCGTGACACTTGCCCACAGCAGGGATACACTATAGGTGAGTGCAAACATGTAATGCAGATCCCATGTACCCTAACAAGGAGTCATTACATGAATAAACAGGAGCACGGATCCTTCAACTCTCTGCATGTTCCTGGGATGCAGTTGATGCTCTAAATAAGCCAGTGGCTGCGAACTTACCGGCTGCTGCTTCTGAGTCCTTGGGTTGAGCTCTGGTTTACAATGCATCATTTAAGATGCATTTAAGATGCATTAAGATTTAAGAGCAAATATTTTCCATGTGTTGAAAGCAAATTATAAACAGATTGAGCCTGAGTACAGTAGATCCACTGGACTAAATTTGACAAAGAAAAGCTTTCGATTAAAGAATGAGGCTTAAGGGGGACGGGGAGTGAGCTGGCATGGAGGGAAATATTGTCATTTTAATGAAAAAAATTGTTGTGGAAGTATACTCTCTGCAAACGTTGAAGGAGACAGTCCTTGTGCAGGAAAGCACATGATGTAAATCACTATATACTAAAGCAGTCCATCTCTTGAACATAGCAAAAGTATCTGTATGAAATAGCAAAACAGCACACATTGCATTTTCATGGGGAAATGTGCTGTATTCAGTCATATTAATTACTGCGTGGGCTCAATTTTCAGTGCAATCAATCCACAGGAAACAAAAGGGCTGCAGGGGAAATATAAAAAGACAGTCAGCTAATAGGAGCCAGATTCAATAAAACTGTATCTGCCTGCAGTGAGCGGCGAGGCAGAGATGTGTCCAGTCTCCCCTGGCAGGGCACATGATGGGTCGGGCAAAGGCTGTAGGGCTGAGAGGGGCTTGGAGCAACACCCTGTGTATATCTATATGTGTGTGTGTGTGTGTGTATATTTACATATGAGGAATGCAACTCCTATTGTGAGAAATTAGGAAGGAAAGGGTTTTAATTCAAGTTTTTCTGTGCAGTGTTTAGAGTGTCATCTTGGAGCAGGTTGTCTTGTGGTGGCACTTCTGCCAGTGCAGCCTCTGCCTGCCATACCTCCACCCCACCGTGTCCTGAGCCATGGGCTCTCCAATTTGGTACCATAACAGGGTGTTTTCCTCTGTCACCCCAGCCCTGCTGCTCCGGTCCCTCTCTGCTGGCAAAAACCAACAAGCCCCAGAGCTGCTGGCGTGGCCAGGGTTCTCCTGGGTGGACTTCAGACCCTGGGTGAACTTCACCTTTGCTGCGGAGTTTCGGTTTAATGCCAATATTTTAGCAAGCTGTTTGGTTTGTTTGCCTAGCACTTAATGGGGGGATTATCCGGTTTATTTCTTTTTCTTCACAGATTGCTTTTCAGTTTTGAAGTTGAATGTGTTCATTTTTAGCAGTAGCCTTCTCTGCCATTCAGGCTCCAAGCTTCCCTAGGAAGTGACTTCATGGCATTATTCAAGCAGATTATTGCTTGGAGTGGCTGCGGCTGAATTACCCAGTGTTCATGTGATGGCAAGCTCCCAGTCCATATGTATTTAATGACTGTAATCATTTATTATTTTCCCTTTATTAGGTTTGTTTTTAAAGAAAGTTTTACTGTGCTATTTATGATATGCTAAGTGGTGCAACTTGCTGAAAAAACATATCGCATACATTTTATTTTTAATAGGTTTTGCTTGTTAAAATGGAAATCTTTTATTTACCCTAGTAGGGTAGTTTTTTGCTGACAGTTTTATTATTTCAATTACTCAGACATTTCTTTCCTCTTTTGTTTCCCTAGATATTCCTCCAGGGAGTTTTAATGTGCCCATTCTTTATTTAAGATTGGGTTCAGAACGTGTTATTTCTAGCAGGGCAGAGGAAAAGCGTAATATAGCAGGCATTAAATAGTGGGATGTCAAGGTTTTATTTTCTCTCCTCTTTGAGTTGTGGAATCCCTTCCCCATCTGTGTCATCCAGTGATTAATTGCCCTGATAATCTGCACACCTTCATCAATAACCGCCTGCCACCCGCGCCGGGCAGAGGCCATGCTCTGCCTAAAGGGTTTGTGGCTGCTGATTAATGAACATACGTGTATGACTAAAGCAGGGCGAGACCCCTGAGAGCATTTACAATTGCCAGAGACCCAGAGTTCCTTTAATGAACTAACACTCTATAGTGTAGAGCAGCAGTAACTACCGTATACATTTCACTCGCTGGTGGGGAAAGGAGAATGGGACCATTCCTCCAGGGAGAAACCCAAGCTTTGGTTGGTGGAGTGAAAAGTGAACCCTAAGGGCTCATGCTAGTAGGGAGCCTCACAGTCTCTGTGGACCAGCACCAGTGGGAAGGGGAGACTAAATTCACCTTTACAAAATTAACTGGGGTGGGACAGTGTGGAAACTGTGTGCCAGCTCCCCTGGCTCTTCTCTCTGCAAGTTCTTGTCTTTTGAGTGCTCTCTGATGTGTGATGGATTTTATCGTCCATTACAGCATGGCTGATTCTGGTTTAGTTCTGTTACTCCTTTTCTTTGCCCCTTGCTGCTCTTTTGGTCTCTGAGGCAGAGACCAGTCCTTGGACTATGAAGAAACCAAACCCAAATGGTTGCTAGGACAGTAGGAGAGTCCCCAGAGCTGCAGATGGATGTGTGCTTGGACTGCCCATGGCTGGCGCATGGTCCTGGCTGTCCTTAGTGAGGTAGAAAGCACGTTACAAAGCATGTCCTCACACCTCTGCATCCCCTTGTGTTTTCCAGAGTGTCTGGGGGAGAACTTTTTGACCGCATCGTCGAGAAAGGGTTCTACACCGAGAAGGATGCCAGCACCCTGATCCGGCAGGTCCTGGATGCTGTCTACTACCTGCACCGGATGGGCATCGTGCACAGGGACCTCAAGGTACAACCACAGTGTGACTCAGTCCTCCGGGCAGTGTTAATGAAGGTTGCATAATTATGTGAGTCTAACACATTTCCATGTGTTAGTAAATCTTTAGTCCAGCCTCCTCCGGGACTGGCTGTTTCAGGAGGGTTTTACCATAAGAGAGATGCTCTGAAGGCTCCATATCCTCCCCTCGCAACTGGTTTTAATGAGGGCTTTGCAATCAGTGCTGTTACAATGTCAGTTTTGCACATATCATGTTGGAGAAAAGTCATTCATTAAGACCTGAAATGTTACATTAAGGCAGGGAACTCATCTCAGCTGGGATGTGTTTACTGCTGTAAAGTATCTTGCAGATTTGCTGTGCTATATTTACTTTTAACTTAATAATAATTAGGAACAACAAATAGTGTTGGAAAGTCGAATGATTTCCTGGTGTGCTATTTGGGCTAGTGGTTTTGGAGACATTTTTCACAGGAAAGGTTCTTCTAAGGAACATTGTGTGCCAATGTGAATTTTAGATGATAGTTTTCTTTCCAGATCTACTGTGTTACCACATCAAAAACTCTCCGCTTCTCTGGCCAAAAAAACCCAACCAAAATGATATTTCTGTATTGTTTCCTTCCTAAATCTTAAACTATCATTAAGATAAGCTGAAAGGCTTGGATTTCATAACACAGCTAGACCTCCCCATTTTTAATATCTCAAATAATGAAATAGCAGAAGGCAATAGAAAAAGGTACAAATGTCAAAAGAAAAGAATGGGTTCAGTTCCTGAGCTAGTTAATTCTACCAAAGTTTACCTCCAGAAATTAGGAATTCAGTGAATGAAATAACACCTCTTGCTGTGTTTTGGAGAGATGCTCCAAACAGGAATTGCCTTGGATGTTGATGCTGTGGCCTTGAATTGTCCTCATGTAAAGATAATAGAATTTGACAAAACAAGTCAAATTATGCAAAGGCTTAATAAACATTAATAGAATCAAGAGCCTCAAATGCCACAAAGAACTCTTTTTTTTTTTTCCTTCTTAAGTACCATTTTGTATTAAATGTATTTTTAAATCAATTGTATTTTTAATACATTCTAATATTAAACTGCATGTTTCTGATTCTTGGCAAGTCCCCTCAGCGAAGGCTGTAGCGCCGAGAATGTGACTTCGCTGTTCTTCCTTAAGATGGATGAAAAATTGTGGTGATGAGAGATACTATTTATTTGCTTTTTATCTCCTCCAAAATTAGTGCTGATGTGAAATGCTGCATGGAGTAAAATAATTATTCCAAGATGTGAGGCAGCGGGGCCAAAACAGAGCCTGTTACCCGTGAAACCACCAGCCCCACAGTTCTCCAAGGTGGAGCAGTGCCCAGGAGAGGCAGACATGGCCTCGTTTTGTGAAAACCTCAACACAGTCATTTCCTTCTGCCACTCTTTGACTCCAGATGTGAATCTTTTTGCTGCGCAGGGGCCGTTCCTGCAGGATTGCAAGCTTTTCCCCACCTTACTGCTATAAGGGACAGTCCTGGGCACCTCTGCCAGAAGTGAGCATCCTGCGAGCTTCACTTCAAAAGATAGAGTAGAATAATAGAAAGTAGAAATGTATTTTTTAAAGTATTGCTTTGCACATTTTTAAGGCAAAACCTTGAATATGCTGAAGGAAAATATACACTGGTATCTGCAAACTGTATTTCCTCCTCATCGTTGTGCAATAACAGTCCTCTATAATGGGGTTTTTTGTAAGGAGGCAAGTTGGTATTCTGTCTCCTGTGGTCTTTATGTGCTGCCCCCCATTCTCATTGATTTCCTGGAGTATGTAAAAATATTCTCATATTTATTAGAGTTCCATTGCACTTCAGTACGGAAGCATTGTTTATTATTTTAACATGACCAGCTTTCTCTTAATTTCAATTTGTAGGAAATAACTTCAGGCTTCTTTCATCAACCAGAGGTTTTGGAGGGAGGTCTGAGTGCTCTTAATTCAGATATTCCATTGTATGAGCTCTTAATATTCCTGCCTTTATAATTTAAAGAAAGGCTGTAGCTCTCACTTTAAAGCAAATTAGTCTTATTTAAAAGTTCCTATAATCAAATGTGTGATCTGGTAATTGGGAAGTGGATTCATCTACAAATTACTTTCAGAGTTTATGTAAGGACATGCCGAATTTAGATCAAACCAACCTTCTCCAGTGATATTTTGGGGCAAAGACTAGCTCTTTTTCTTTCTTTTTGTTTGCAAGTCTTTGTCAGTATCATATCAGTTGTTAAAATGACTCATAAAATATGGTGTATGAGGAACACCTACTGTGAATTTCTGTTAGCAGAAATATACCATGATGACAAAAATGCAGATATAATAAGGCTTTTTATGATCTCAAAATATCATGATAAGTGCAAGTTTTGAATTGTGATCCCTCAAAATGAAACTCTGGGAAAGAATCCACTCTACAAAAATACAACCCTTGAAACGTCTATAACAATTATTTATTGTAATTATGTGTTATTCAGATACCAAAATAGTACTTGCTGTAGTTGGGAAAAGCAGATCTGTCCTCCAAGTCTCTAATGTAAATAACGCAGCAGCAGATAACAAGAGATGGCAGCAGATGAAGTCCAAGGAAATCAAAAGGACTGAAAGGCTCAAGCAGCTCTGCTTTGTACAGAGTTCTTTTAAACAGGTTTTAAATGAGTTTGAGTTTTACATGAGTGGGTTTCTTGGCCTTAAGTGAGGAGCCTGAGGTGAGTTTGCAGAAATCATTGAGAAATGAATGTCTTTCCCTTAATACCAGCTCTACCAACCCCTCACAGACCAGAAGTTTACCAGTGAAAATCAGGAGTAACTCCAACCAAAGGCAGACCATGGCATAGAACTGACTCCTGTGGTCAGTGAAAACGGCATCATTTGTAAAGGACAGTTAAAGCACTGGACTTGCTTTTATGTTGAGAAAAAAACACAAATGGTACCACTTTATAATTATTTTTATGAACAGAATCATTTCCCTTTTTGCCTCAGTCCCCGCTGGCTCACAGCTGTGAATGCATCTTGTAGATTCTCTCATGACCATTGTGTCCCATGCATAAAGCCATCTCTATGTGGCTTCATGCTGGAGCTGGGGAGCCAAAAAGTTCTTTAACCTCCACTTGAAGCTGAACAGGAGCCTCAGAGTAGAGTGGAGGCCACATCACCCCTCAGTGCTTCTTTGTCCCTCCTTTCTCCAGGGCAGGAGGTTATGGTGATGGAGGAGGGAAGACAGATGCTGGTGCTGCTGCAGTGCAATTGCTCCTCCTTACAAATCTGAGCTTGGATGTGTCCCAAGGAGTTTGATGATGTTGTGGCCCCACACAGCTGCTTCTCCCTGTTTCCTGGAGCACACAGCAGGCTGACAGACAAAATGTGTCACGTGTGGGTGGGCGTTCGTACCAGCTTCTGGGCAAAAGTCTACACCAGGTTTATGTTGAAACGCTGGGTATCCATCACTTTTATAGATGAAGACCCCAAGGCATCCCATTCCCACCAGGCTGTCAGAGTGCCAGCAGATGCTGGGCCTTTTTGTGAGCCCAGATATTGAGAAGGGGAAGAAGTGTGCTCTCACAGCAGATAGTGAGAGCTTTGCTTTGTAACAGTAGCACATTGAAAACATATGGATGGAGGACTCTGCTGTAGCAGATGGAGTTTGGTTGGGCTCTCCAACCCGCCTGATGTCAGTATAAAGTCACAGCGCTTTGTGGAGTGACTCTGCTTTCCTCTCAGCATAAACAAGTCACTGTGCTTAGTGCTACAGGATTTTTTCCTAATCAGGTCTAGATAAAACATCCTTGCTGCAACTCTGTTAACTGTAAAGGCAGTTCCTCTCTCATAACAGTTTATTTCCAGGGGAGAAGACACTAAAATTCTTTAATACCTACTGTTTTCCTTTTTCTAAATGCAATATAAATTTTTTTCATTGCACTACCTGGATTTACCGTATTTACCTGCCTTCAAATCAAATTATCCTCGCAGATAATCAAGTATCTGCATGGATAATAGTCAGACACATCTCACAAGTAAGGGATGAGCCTTTGTTCTTATTTGAGGTGCCAAAGGAGAGGTTTTTTTATCTCAGGAAAGTTACTCAAAGCTCAAGGTATCAGCTTCTTCCATTAGTTGCCATGCAGGAGTCTGGAGAGGATCTCCATATAGGTTTCAAAGGCAACTCTTTAGGATTTAGGGAATCAAATTATGTTGGCATATGATGTAACTAAGAATTGTATTAAATGCAAAGCATCAACCAACAGACTTTGTTACTGGACTTACATATTCAAACCCCTTATTCTCCTTTCTAGCCTGAGAACCTGCTTTACTACAGCCAGGATGAAGAGTCAAAAATCATGATCAGTGACTTTGGATTGTCAAAGATGGAGGGTAAAGGAGATGTGATGTCCACAGCCTGTGGGACTCCTGGCTATGTTGGTAAGAGGTTTGATTATACTGTCTTTCCACTCTTCCCATGCAATACAGATGCATAGTCAAAAGGGTAGAATACTCATTTTCCAGTGTTGTTGGATAGGGCACATGAGATTTTACAGATGTTCATTAGAACTAGAGATTTCAGAAGTTACTGGTGCTCTGTCTTGTGTGTTTTTCTACTTTGTGTCCACATCCTACGATCCAGGTCAGGGACTATGGGTTTCACTTTCAGCATTTTAATCCTTTGCAAAATACATCTTCTCAAAGACCCTGTCTGGAGCTGTTAGGAGCATGTGAAGAATAGCCTCAAATGCATTGATTCTGCAAGAACCTATAAAACCAAGAAGCTTTATCTGATGTAAGATATTATTTTCATCATAAAGGATAGCATTTGGCAGATTCCCCTGATAGAAGATAGTAAAATGAGAGACTGCATTTATTCAGACACATTCAGTCATCCTCTGTTACAGCCATGTTAAGTTACTGACTCCTGGATGTCAGTATGCAGAAGCCTTTTAGATCTCTGAGCCTTCCTGGACAGCATCAAATTGTTTCCTATTATTTATTCTTTGGTACTTTGTCCACTCGGGGGTGATTGTACCCAGCTACCAATTACCATTATGTTTACCAGCATCCTTTGAAAAAAGTTAAAGTAACTGAGTATGAGAATTATATGGCAGGAGATGACAGAGTCTGTTTGAGCAAACACAGTTTAAAAGGCTTCCTTCACGCATGAGACATCCAGCAAGCCTCTGCCTCCTACGACACCAATTAGTCAGCTGAGGCAGTACAATTAATCTCTGGGGTATCCATGAAATCCCTGAAACTGAAATGACAGTGGCTTCCCCAGAGATAGATTTGTCTCACATCTTTCCAGTAGGAAGAAACTGATGTTTTCCAGCTATCAGAGAAGCTCCTTTTGCTTTGCAGCTGCCACCTCACCTGTGTTTTCATAGCTCTGAGGACGCTATGGTAGAAGAACTCAAAGAGATGATGTTGCTATGACCCAGTGATCCAAATTTGTCCCAGGAATAGCTTTTTCCCAGCATTATCTTCACACTGCACGGGCACACTCTATCCCGATAACATCAGGAAAAGGAATAGGTTTCTTTGGTCTCCCCATGGTGAAGCCACCAGCCCATCATTTTTGTATTTTAAGACATAGGAGTCAGGATGCACTCTGTGCGGCCTGAATAGCTGTCTTGTGTAATCACACCAGACTGGAAATCTTCTTCCAAAGCACTAGCAGGAATCGAGCTGAGACTGCAATTTTCGTAATTTTTGCTGTCAGCTCTTCTGTCCTTAATTAACATGTTTTATTTTGTTCTGAAATGGGCACTGACTAGAACAAGCCTGCGAGACGCAGGGAAGCTCGGGTGATGTTTGCTGAAGCATTGATGAAAATGAGGGAGTGGGACTATGTGTCGGGCACCGAGTGATCTCATATGGCCTCTCAGCGTGCCATTTACATAAGAAAACTTGCTATTTTGGAGAGGAAGCTCTGGGAGCATGTGGCATGAATTGTAGTGCTTTGGGAGAGGTTTGAGAGCTCTCATTACTCCTGGTCTGGGCACTGAGAGCTACACAAGTGCCTCCAGGCCCGTTGTTACCTTGCTGAGCGCAGGATTTACTCATCACAGTTCCCGAGGTCACGGCCGCTTATTTCTGAAGTGCTGGCAGGAGTTTTGCCCCTTTCTCACAAAGAAAACCGCTTTAAATATTTGTTCTATTTCTTTTTGTTGCACGGGAGACGGCTCCTCTTTAGTGCTGCTTTTTTTTTATAAAAAAAAAAAAAAACAAAAAAACAAACATAACTGGTTGCCCAGACAACATTTTCCAAGGGCAGAAAAATTTTGTGGTCAGTCACAGGGGTGATGGCCATAAAAGGGCCTCCATGAGTGTTACACCTGATGACATGGCTTTTGTGTACCTGGTCTGCAGTTTTTTCCGCAGCCAAAAGTTTTCGTGCCTCCCAGCATCACTCCCAATTTGCAGCACCCACCTAAAATGCCCTCAAATAAACATAAGAGTTGTTTCTCCTAACGGTGAAAGACAACTACATGTCCTCATCTGGTTTGGGGCAGACATGGACCACAGTGCTGCCCTGTGAAGCGTCCTGCCAACTCTTCCTGTTTTTTTTTTCCAAGAGTTTAAGTAACACTCAGGAATCCATCACTTACAATGTAATTCGCGGCACTTTTCTTTCAAGATATGTAGAACATCCCATTTTCCAATCTTTTATGAGGAATTAATTACTTTTGTCAGTTTAAGCACTTTCCTTTTAAATTCCTAGCAAAAAGTTAGGCATGCATCACGTGCCAAGGGTGTGGTTAAGAAGCCATTAAAATCTGCTACTATTTATACTTCTTTATCTCCAGAAGGGGACCCAGTGCACTGGACAAGCTTCTGACGTGGTAGCAGACCTGATCTTAACTCTTATCTGCTGCCCTTTCTAAGTATTTGCAAGGCTGCAAGCCCCCTGTCATTTCTATCTAATTTTCCTGATTAGGATATACTTTCAACTCTGTGTGTTTCAATTTTTAACCCAGCTTTTCATAGTTTCAGCTCCAAGAATGGTGGTACTCAAGACACTAAATCCCTGTTTCTGTGGTTCGGAAATTCATCAAATAAGGGAGGGTGTAATTACAATTAAACTTTTAGAAAATATCGCTTTTCTTTCTGAAAATCAAAATATTGCTTATCAAATTAGAGTATATTTAAAGTGTGCATAACCGGTTATGCATTAGCACATTAGCCTTTGAGGCTCAACAGTTCAGAGATCTCTTTCTTTCAGAAGTTTTGTCAGAGATTTTGGTCCCATGGTGAAAAGGTGAAGATTAGGATAATTTAACACAATTAGAGGCACTTTTGTTAAGATGCAAACCTAAATGTTTAGTTGCTGAAGAGAGGATCTGATAATGTCTTCGAATAAAAAGGTCTTCCATTTTCTTATCTGCTTAGGACTCTTATCTCCCTCTCCATTTCTTACGGAAGGAGTGTACTTGAGATTAGATGCCCAACTTTTAGATAGCACCTAAATTGGGTAAATGAGAGCTTGTGTGACTCATTGCAAATTAGGTGTGTGGACTGGCTTGTATGGATCCCACCCCATCTCTAGACTGGAGAAGAAGTGGTGTTTTCAAAACTCTGGGTGATCACTGTGATAATGGGCAAGATCTGTATAAGTCATTAGCAATCTGTCATGGGCTGCTCAGCCTGAGGCTGTTTATAAGAACTTGATTTTGATGAAGAAGGTGTTCAAAACTGCCTGAAAATGAGTCACCCTCAGGGTATGTCAAGTTGAGCACTCACCAGGAGGTGACTCCAGTCATTCAATGAATTCTTCTGAGGAGATTTTGGCTGTTTGGGAACTAGGTCTCACTGACTTAGTTTCCGTGAGAGTTGGTCCCTCAAAAGCTTTGGTTACTTCTGCAGATGGGACTTAGACTCACAAGACGCTTATGAGCATTGAGAAGTTTGGAAAAAAATGTTAGAAAGCCTGTCTCCGGCAATCTGATCTCCTTTTGCAGAAATGCTGAATTATGAACTGTGTTTGTGGCTGGCTAATATCTTAATCCTTCTGAGATTTAAAATTCTTGCTCTGAGTCCCAACCCAACTTCAAGTAAAATTTTCTTGTATTTCCTTGTCGTAGGGATTGGGCTGGACCCTGGATGTATGGTAGATCCCTGTACACCCCATCTCAGTCACTTTATTCTCCGTAGTGCTTTTATGAAAGGTTAATTCACACCTTTCAGCTGTATCAGAAACCCAGTAGCAATTTCAGACCATATCAAAGCCATGTGTTTCTCTTAGTCCTGTGCAAAACCAAAGCATTTAAGTAAGAAATAGATTTCCATGCTGAATTTTGACTTATTTGGTATCTTTTGAATCAAAAGTTGGAAAATATTCAATAAGCCTTATAAGCAAAAAGCAACCCCAGGAGTTGTTTAGGCAGTAACATGCGTCATAAAGGAAAAACAAAGCATGGGAACTGCTCTTACCAGGGTTTGTGCAGGCACAAGCTCATGACAGTGCAATTGCTCAGCTCCGCTGATGTATCCAGGGTTTGCCTGTGTGTGGTTGTAGCTGCATAATGTTCCATGACGGCTAAATCTGACCCAGCAACACAAAATAGGGGCAACAGGAGCCCAAGAAGCCAGCAGAGCTGCACCAAAACCCTGCAGTCCTTCGGAAACTGCACAGAACTACAAAGTCGTGGCCAACCAGAACAAGATGGACACCGGAGGACTGTGTGAGAGGGAAGGAAATTGTTTTCATCCCAGGAGTCAGTGGAAGAGGGACTCTGGTCTAGTGGTCAATCTGCTTCAGGTGCCTCTCAGACTGTTTGCACTGTGAGGAAGATGCTTTGTATGGCAGCAGGGGACCTCAAGCTGCTCTTGCACTCTCTTTGGCTTCAGAGGGGGCTGGGTTGGCCCTTTGGGCATCCAACCGTCTTCTCAATGGTGCAGGGTTGTTCCTCTCTGTCCCATCTTCCCGAGGTGGTACCTTCAAGTCCTAAGCAATGGGGCTGGCACTGTCTCCCTTTGGTGTCTCTTAGAAGCTCTGCCTGTTACTCACCTTCCCTCTCAGAGTTCATGGCCATCTTGATCCTGTACAGCCCAGGCTTCCCCTTCTTTACTTGTAGGACCTTCCTATGTGATGGAAACTGGGACTTAAATAGTTACCAGCTGAAACTACTAGTCCTGGCTTGCACCAGGCCAATTTTCTTGGCCAACTGAGCTATGTCCCTGCCCAATGTAAGCAGGTTCCTGGTTATTTTGACCCTATTTAGATCTATTTATTCCTCCGACATTTACGGCAGCCTGCTGGTTTGTCAGTCCTATGGGGATCTTCAAAACCACCATCCTTTGTTCAAATGCCCTGTTCTTTCTGGCATGCAGCTTGTGTGAAGCCATATAAACCACAGAAAATAGCATTAGACTGAGTTCTTGTGAGAGCAAAAGCTGGTGGGAGTAGCACCATCATGGGAGTGAAGGAGAATGGCTTTTAAGTAGGAGGCTGGTATGAAGAACAGGCACCCTCATGACTTGTACAGTTTGTTCAACAGGCTTAAAGTATCAGAGCAATCCCCATCACTTGAGCTCTTTGCAAGAACATGGATTGCTGGTTTTGGCATCCAGCAGCTGCATTTTTAGGGAGCTTATTAGCATAGCTGCACTATGGCATAGTGCTCTGAAAGGTTTCCAAATGTTCTTGTTCTGTACCTGTTCTTAAAACCTCCGTTTGAAAGAAGTCTTTTCATTTTTTTCTCTTATTGAAAAGAAAACATAACTAAACAAAGAAAACCCTAACCGTAGAGCAGCAGATCATGTGCCCTGGGAAGCACATCTTCCCAACCTGCAGGTGGGAAGAGGCCCTGGGACCACTACCCGACATTTTACTTGCCATGTGTGGCTGGTAGCAATGCTAATTTGGCCTGAAACACAGTTTCTGGATGTGGAGGAAGTGTCCAGGTTTGCTTCATTGACTCCCCTGTCTCTGGCTGACTGTCATGTAGCATTTGAGCTACACAGTGATTCCCTGGAGAGGCGCGATACTGGAAGCTCAGCTGGAATTTCCCCAGGATCACATATGGGAGCTTTGACTTTCCCGTTCTCCTTACTGCTGTTTTGTCTCCTGAGTCATTGTGTTGATCCTTTAGTGCCGTCAGCTCTCCGATTTTTTTCGTTGCTTCTCCTGCTTTTGCCTCTTGGCACTGATCTACCGTCATTTCTAAGAGCTCCTCTGACTTGTTTTTCTGCTCATTAAATATTTCCGTCTTTTCTGTGTATCAGAGACAGATGATGCTAAGCTATGTTCTCCCATTCCTGTTGCATGTCTGCTCTTTGGAACAAGAATCAAAAGCGGTCTTTTGGCCTTAAGATAATTATTTAAACCTCCTGCCTTCCTTCATTAAAGTTTACCAAAAGGGGAGATAATAGCCTCGCATTTGCTTTGGGCTTGATCCCGTGGTGTTCTTACCTGCTTCACATCCACCATCCACAGCAGCAACTGTCTGTTATCAGTGCTCTTCACTCCTTTAAAACAGAGAGAAATGCCCCAGCTCAGCTTTGATGTTTTAGGAGGGAGAATCTTTATATAACTCACATCCCCTCGTCTCGGATTTGTTTTCTGTTATGTTAATGTGGCATATCTGTATAATGTCAGGAGCTCACTAGGATCCGTGGTGCTCAGGAGCTATTTGCATAATGTTTTCTTTGGGGGATATAAGATTTAAAATGTTTACCAGTCTTGAAAATGATGCAAACAGGAGCAGACAGTCAAAGGTAGAAGAGATATGTAAAGAAAATATTGGTAATTTGGAAGGACTGGAGAGTTGGAAGACATCTAATCACCTGAGGACAGGGGGAAATCAACTCCCGTCTTCCACATATTTTGTCAAAAAATTCAGTCACAAGGACTGGAACAAGAAAAGAAATTGACTCTCACAAACCCTATTTGATGCACATTTTGGAAAAAGATTCTTTTTAGAGGAAAACTTGGAGGCAAATTTTAATGAATTGGGAAGGAAAGAGTGAGATTAATGGCCACAAGAGTTGTCTGGGAAGGTTGTCTTGAGCAACTTTGGGGAACAGCTGTTTTATACAAGAGAAGTGTAAATTTGCCAGACTGTCCCAGCTTGCCAGGTTATCTGGGAGGCAGTAGCAGGCCAAATATGATGACTCTCCAGTGCTTCATTCTTTTATCCCAAGTTTGTCTTCAAATTCACCCCCACCAGAGTGACTAGCACCAAACTGACAGGCAGACCCTGCCCCAGCCATGGGGCAAGGAGTTATATTTTAGGTGCCAGCTGTAGATGCCTTCTATATTTCCACAGCTCTGTCCTCTGTTGTTGTAGGAACATTTTAACCTTTATCTCAATATAGCAGCATGCCCATGTCCTGGAAGGAGTCAGTGGCTTCTCGGGAACTGGAGTACACATTTCTGGCAACCACCTAGGGCCAGCTTGGGAAGCCATTCTTGCTAGGTATGGTGGAAAAAATCCTTTGGCACGAAGTGGATAGGTGTTGGAGCATTCACATACGTGTTACAGCAGTGTTTTAGGATTAACAATATATGAACAGAACCATCATTTTAATTTCTTATACATGCAGTGGTCCCAGTTTTCTGGATGACTTTAAGACTGGGGTGGTATTTACCCTGTGCTGCAGATTGGGGCATATCCCAATATTCAGAAGTCTTCATAATCTGGCTGCCAGCTATATTTTTACCCACATTCTCCTGGATTTTCTTCTTTTTTACAATGTAAAAGTCAAGTCACCCAGTGTGACTTGGCCCTTTCCATCATTCTGCTTCTCGTGGAAATACAACATGGATGCCCTCATCTGCCTCAAGGCACTGTCTTCCCTTCAGTCCCTTTAAGATCTCATGCCCAGGCACCAGAAAATCTTTTCTATGTCTCATTATGGCTTCCTGTTCCCTTCCTTGCTGGCAGTTTTGACCTTAGTTTTGCTGACTTGTCTAGCTTAACAAGATAACTCTTTGAAGAGTCCTTACCAGTACACCAAAGCATATGTAGCAACCAAATGTGAGGCTCAAGTTCTAATACATTTATATGCTTCACAATTTTGTCACTATTCTTCAAGAAACTAACTGCTTTGATATGGATAAGGCTTCTACCAGAGGAAGGTGTAACCCCTAAGGAATATTTTTTCTGGAACTCGCCCCTTCGTGATTTTTTTGCAGCATTTGGACTCCAAAGTTCTCAGAGGAAGTACTGTGCTTTTTAAAACCCAGTGTGACAAGTCTGCTTTAGGAATGCCACAAGCAGTGATTTCTGGCATTGTTGTGGACATTTTGCTTTGAAAAAAAAAAGCAAAAGCTTCTTTACATGAAAAAGATTAGAGTCACAGGGTTTTAAAATTTAGGTTTAAGCATTTGCACTGAAAGGTCCCAACAGGGAAAACAAAATACTTCAGGCTGCCAAACAAAAAAATGCACTTTTTTAACTCTCACTGGTGTAAGACAGGAAAGCAGACCCACAAAGGGTTTCAATAAATGCCAAGTTCTCACTTCTGGAAAAATTCAGATTATGGTGGCTGAATGCTCTAGAAGCAGAAGGCTCAGTTCCTTTGTGTTTGTGTCCAATTCCTGCTACGTTTCGTTTCTCTTTCTGAGGCATCTGTGTTCCCAGAGACAGAAGGACAAATGACTCCCTCTGACATCCAGCAGGGTTCAGAAGGCAGCTGTTGGGAGGTATGGTGGCAGCTCTTCTCCTGCAGACGTAACTTATCACCTCCCTGCCACCCTGTCCTTTCCCAGTTGCCTCTTGAAATCCTCCGTTTGGCAGCAGGACATGGTGGAGCTATGAGGCTGTCAGGGTGAATGTACATCTCTGCACCAGTGCAAAGCTTGGCCTCATTTTCTTTAAAGTTTCTTAAAGTTCCTCTGACAGGGAGGTGGTGGCCTTCTGCCTCTCATGCATATTTCAGTCTTTGGGTTTTTTTTCTGTCCTCAGGGGTAGAAGATAGGGAGTTTGCCCCATTTTAGACGTCATCCTTCTTTGTGAAAATATGAGCTTCAGAAACATCAGGATATTTCCAAATGCAAGGGCTGTACGTGGAGGGCAACAACACAAGGTCTCGGGGAGCTTCAAGTTTCAGGGTCCTACCTCTTGGCCACATTAAATGTTTGGTCTTGTAACATGTGCTTGTTTGGCTTTTTTTGTTTTTCCCAGCTCCTGAAGTGCTGGCCCAGAAACCCTACAGCAAAGCCGTGGATTGCTGGTCCATCGGGGTCATCGCATACATCCTGTGAGTATCCGTTGGGTTTTCAATCACAGGCAGCTTTGGGGCCTGCAACATGCTCTCCCACCATATAATTACCCACTCAGTCTGGGCCAAAAAAGTTAATCCCTGACACTTGTGACCCAGGATAACATGAACCCTGGACACCTCCCCATTACATATAGACTGAAATTTGGGCGGAAGTAGTAGGAAATGAACCAAGACCCTTCAAAAGCAAAAAATCCTTGCTCCCACCTGAACTACATTGTATGCAATCATATGGGCTTGTCCAAGTTGTGACGTTACTGAACCTATTCCCTCCCCTACTTGGGTTACCTTTGAACAGCAACAAATTTGGCTATGTCCACAGGGCACAGCATCATGCCCGTGGGTATATCCTGAAGTGCCACCTCTCTCAAGACGTCACCGTAATGGCTTTTTATTCCCTGGGGAGGCAGGGCACAAAGAGAGATACGAGGGGAAGAGCTTTTCCTGTACTGCAGTGAATTATTCTCTTCAAAATATAATGCAAAGTATTGAAAATTTACTGAAAATGTGAAATCCAAAACATTTAAAATCCGACCATTTAACACATCCAACCATCAGGTCCCATAGGAGAGGGTGAACTGATTTCTGTCCTGTCAGTTCTGCCACCCTTCCATCAAGCTATTAAGGCTCTGCGTTTGTGGCTGAGATTTGCTTTTCTAATGGGGCTAATTGCTGCTCAAATGAGTGAGGATTGGTTGTTTGAGAAAGCTATGGGACCAGGGCTTCTGTGCATTCGCCAAAGTTGTGAATAGGTCTCAAAACTCATGTTTATGGAGATTTAGTGCCTGTCCTTATTATTAGCTACCACCCTTCTTCACAAAGGCTTACTGGAATAATTTAGATTGGAAGGGACCTCAGTATGTCCTGTTCTTGAGGTCACACAAAGTTGCCTGGGTCTTTATCTAGTTGTGTCTTGAAATCCTCTGAAGACGGAGACTGCACAAGGTCTGTGGACAACCTGTTCCACAGCTTGAGTGTCCTCATAAGGAAAAAAGGCTTGTCTCCATTACAGGGGTAACCAGTACTCTTGATGTGGGTGCACCTTGATTGCTTGAGCCATGGAAGTAGGTAAGCCAACTCCTGTCCCAGCGACACTTGGAAGGACTCAGGGACTGGAGCGAATGGACAAGGCGTAATGGTTTTAAACTGAAAGAGGGGAGATTTAGGTTAGATACTAGGAAGAAATTCTTTACTGTGAGGGTGGTGAGATGCTGGAAAAGTTACCCAGGGAAGTTGTGGATGCCCCATCCCTGGAAGTGTTCAAGACCAGGCTGGATGGGACTTTGAGCAACCTGGTCTAGTGGGAGGTGTCCCTGCCCATGGCAGGGGGGTTGGAACTAGATGATCTTTAAGATCCCTTCCAACTCTAACCATTCTTTGATTCTATGATTGGATAGGCATCCTGGCCATTTTGGTCACCAGGGGTCATTAGTGTTGTCCAGAAAAGGGCGTCTGTAACATTTCTGGGCACCATCATCTGTATCCAGCTCTGTGTGCATGACAATATGAAAACACTGCTAATATTTGGGTTGAGAGGAAAATGCAGAACTTGTTGTCTGTGAAACTGTAGGAAGACTCCCTTGAGCTTAGGGACCTGTATTGATGGGATGGTCTATGCTCAGGGCTGAAGTTCATGACTCCATGTATGTCCTTCAGATAACAATTGCTTTGGTTGCTTCTGCACAGTGTAGCAGACCTTGAAGCAGGAGCTATTCATGCGGGTCTTTAAGAGGAGGTCAGGCTGTCACCTTGGGCTGACTCAGGGTGACCACGTGGAGCACAACAAGCCCGTTCCTTCTGTGCAAAAGAGCACAGAGCTGTTGTGTAGCTGTTGACTGCTGCAGAAACAAATGTCTTTTCATGCCAGCATTACCAGTGCTTTTGCCTTTTTTTTGTTTCTCCACTTTACACAACTGTCACAGTTCTGCAAGGCTGAAGGAAAAAGCAGCTCCAATGAGGCATGGCATTAAAGCATTCCTACTTTCTTCCCTTTCTCCTTATGCAAACATTTCATGGCTTGTCAACATGAATAACTTTTTGATGGTGTAATAGAACTATTTTTACCAGGACACACCTCATTGCTGTATTATCCATTCTGTGTAATGTTCATTCTTTACATTTTCATTTAGTCTTGAGCATGTTATATGCTACCCAAAATAGCTTTTTTATATTAAGATAATATAGGAAGGCTTTATTTCTTTGCATGTACGTTTATTTATTTAAAACAAAGCCCTGCCTAAAAACATCAGCTTTATGGCTGCCTCTCCAATCTACATGAATATTTGAAAACTTGTTGAGTACAAAACTTTGCAGGGGGATGGATTTATCTTGGAGCAATCATCAATAGCAGGATGCAAAAGAATTTTGTATAAGAAAGCAAAAATCAACAGTGCTGATTCTGGCTTCGTGGCAAAGCTCAGCAGGACATGCTATAGCAGTGAGGAAGACAGCAGACATGCCAAAACACTTCAGAGACTGCTTCACACATCATTCCCTAGTGCTCTTTTAGATGAGGATGGTGTGTACTGACCCAAACTTGCCATCTTCCACATGCAAACCTGAGCACGGAAGGCCAAGAGGTTGGGTTTTTTTGACATATTTGGCCCTTGCCAGCCATGGCAGGACAATCAGGTAGAACCTTTTCTGTTGTTTTCATATACTTTTCTGAGTACTAGCTTCAGAGAGCAGGAGGAAGGAGGATGCAGGTGGAAGACAGCAGTACACTGCCTGACTACTAGGCTTGACCGCTGCCTAGGTTCGGTTTATTGTCAAATACCTGCTATGAAAATCTGTGTCCATCTGGCAGCCCACAGGAGGGGTGAACTGCTGCATCCTGGTTGCCTGGAAATAAACTTGGCTCTGCTTTCCACCAAGTTTTCAGTCCCATTCAACCATGGCTCATGTACCAAAGGTCTTTTTGGCTGGCAGACTTCTTATTTCACTTGTTGCCTTTATGTGTCTTGTTGAGGAATATGAATGAGGCAGTGCTAAGCAATGTGTCCTCCACCACCTAGTTAATGAACATATCTTTGATAGGTGGGAGGTCTTAATCTCATCCATAAACCTCTGCCCCACACCTTCCTAAGCGAGGCTGCTCTTTTTGTGAGGTTCAGCTCAGTTGTTTCTCGCTCTGTTTTCCAAATCAGCATGTGCTGTGCTTGTCAAGAAAGGTATACACACTCCTCAAATCTAAATTCCTCATTTGCTGGATGGGGAATTCCCAACCCTGAGGGCTCAAATCAGTTTAGTAAGAACAAGTCCCTAGGAATTCCTGTTTGAAGGACAAGAAAACCTTTTCAGTGTTTCTGGGCTTCATGTAATAAGGACCTGATTTGTATTATGTACAGTCAAAATGAATGGCAATAATGTGTTGCCGTAGAAGGAGCGCGGTAATGTGTTTGCCAGACTGCTACTGCCTGGGTGGGATTGGGTCTTGAGATCAAACCACCTCCTCAGACATTTTTGCATGTGACCTACATCCTTCGACTCCTGTTACAGTCAGCAGCACTCCAGGGCTCGCTTTGGTTACCCTAACATAGGTGCTTAGTGTCAAGCTGGGGCTGCAGGACCGTCCAGCCCCCCATGGCATATCTGCCAGCTGGGAACAAAGGTCCTATGCACTTGACAGCTTCTCCAGTGGCATTGGGCTCTACATGTGGCCACCTCAACCCAGCCTGGGTCAATGCAAGCAGTCATTTCACCAGGATGAACCATTCAGTTGCCTAAACATATGTGTTTAGTGCCACACTGGGGTGTCCAGGACAGCCACATGGATTTGGCAAGTTTAAATCACTGTGGAGACCTTCCTTCTGGAGTGGCAGATGGAGGCCAAGTGGGAGACCATGGACTGTGTCAAATAGCACCAGATGCCCATGCTGAGGCTACTGGATCACACCTTGCTCCAATACTCAGCCTCTGCCTTCACAGCATGGTTTCATCTGCTTTATAGTATGTCTGCGTCAACCTTCTGTCTCTGTTGACTCCACCTCTGTTGACTGCGATGGGAGCTTAGAAGCCCAGCCCACATCTTACGTGTCCTAATCTTGAACTAGATGTCATCCAGGCTTCCAGAAATAGCCAGAAACTGCAGACACAGTCTCGTAAATGGATACCAGGGGTATAGTAAAGACAGAGAGGAGGAGAGGTCCTTCCCTAAGCTGGAAGGAAGTAGCCCTGCTGAGGTGGGCCACAGGTTTAACATCTAGGTTTGCTGTCTCAGCAGTCCCACACCACTGAGGTGGTAGAGCTGGTGATGAGATGCCACAAACACCATCAGCGTAGCCAGCCTGGTGCCATGCTGGTCGTTAATCCCACCTTGAGCAGGAGTTATTAATTCCAGCATATCCCCACGTCTGTCCAGATATGCCATTTCCAGCTCCACAGTCAGCACAGTTGGACCTACTTGCACGTACCCAAACCAGTTGGAGACATATTTATGCACAGGGTGATCCAAGCACATCGTCCTGCACCACCTCCCCGCCTCTCCCACGAGTCCTCCCAGCCACTCTGAACAGGCTGCTGTCATTTAAGAAGATGGAAACTCTGGGGAATCCAACACAGAAGCCAGGCATAAATTAAGGATGCTTAGAGCTATTATTGCTCTGAGTGGTTTGAGTGCCTGCAGACACAAGCCCAGTCTCACATGAGAGCCTTCAGTTTATGACACTGGAAGAACAAACTGTTTCTGTGGCACCGACGCTCTGGACTAATGTTTGTTTCTGTGATATGCAAGGTGAAGGATGTCTTAGGAATGAATACCTTTGTTTCAGTGCCAGTCTCTAATGTTTCTCGTTAATGACAGCCAGATTGTAGAGGCTGCACCAGAGGAGTTTTTATCAAAACCTGTTTTGCATGAGAAGTCATTATTCACAGGAACTAATTTTAGCAGCCTGAAATTTCCTGTTATTCCAGTTGCAACATTTCTTGATTTGAAACAGCCTCACTGTTGAGCTCGGCTTTCTACTCATCACAAGGTAGTT